GTGCACGTGCAGCTGTTTTGTCAATCTACCAGAGGTCGCAACCGGGTATCCGATACCCGTACCCTACCCGATACCCGGCTACCCGTACCCGACCGGGTACGGGTACCCGTTTGCGACCCTGGTGCAGCCGGGTACGGGTACTGGTAGGCCGTGAGTCACTGGTGAGTCGCCGTTTGTCACTCATTTCCCAACGTCTTGTCTCTTCTCACAATTCAAGTTCCTAGAATCAACCCACCCGCGCCTGCAACATGGCTTCATCCCAGAAGTCGCAATCGGGTGCCCGTACCCGTACCCTACCCGATACCCGGCCGGGTACGGGTAGCCGAGTATCGGGTAGGGTACGGGTATGGGTACCCGTTGCGACCCTGGTGCGCCGGGTACGGGTAAGGAATCAAAACCCGTTTGCGACCTCTGCAATCTACTGCTCTGTGACGGTCTTTTCATGCCGTGCGGGACATGGGGGTTATTTTACCATCACGCTGATCGGTGAGAGACGCTGGAGCCAGGCAGCAGAGCATTGAGAACGTAGAAGTACAAACAACGGTGGGTTAAATTTCGATTTAAAGCTTTTGTGACGGCAGGGATTCATCTTCTTGGTTCTTTCGGTAAAGTCACGTAGAAGAGAAATAATAAAATAATAAAAATAAAACATAGTAAAATAATTCTCACGACGTTTTGGCCACAATGCAAGCAGCCGTCCTCAGGTGAAGACCAGGTCTGTCGGTGAAGACCAGGTCTCCCCGACAGACCTGGCCTTCACCTGAGGACGGCTGCCTAGTCTTCACCTGAGGACGGCTGCTTGCGTTGTGTCCGAAACGTCATGATAATTATTTTATAATGTTTTATTTTTATTATTTTATTATTTCTCTTCTACGTGACTTTACCGAAAGAACCAAGAAGAAGAACAATGGTGGGTTTTTCTGTATTACCTACTGCCCAACACTCACGTGGCCCCACCAATTACACCTGCTTGTGTTGTGGTCACCCATCCAAGAATTGTCCACCCCCTCGTGTGCCGTGTCGGCATTCATAGGTGCTACTCGCTCACAGCACTTGCCCCAACGGTCTGTGAAGGCTACACGGTGGGATCTTTGTCTTTGCCTGGGATTGTGGGAGGGTGCCTGACAGCCGCCGGTGTGTCGTGCTGTTCTTGTTTTCCCTCGAGTGTGCTCGGGTTTTCTCCGGACACGCTCTGGGGTTTGTTTTTTTCTTCCTCCCTCACACAACCAATAATTCACATTCAATTTCCTAACAGCCTCTGCCCACATCTCCCCCTCCTGTGCCTTAAAATTGCAGAAAGCTTTTTCTGTCTAAATATTTCAATTTATGTACAATTTGAAATTCCAGAAGAATGTAAAAAATATATCTATATCAAACGTGCACATACCACCACAAATTCATGCCAAGGATAAACAGGCCACATTTTTATTTATTTTACATGTATATTTATTCTCAAGTGAATATATATGTAAAGGTGCAGCCCTGCAATGTCTGGCTCACGCCACTGCTTGCAGACAGGCCTCCACTCGAGGGCTCTCTAGAGAGCCCCGCTGAAGCATACGTTGGCCTTCTCTTCCACGCTGGCCACACGTCTCGAAAGAGGGTGGCCGTGGACCACACTTCACCCCCACCGCGGTGTCCCCATTTGTACTGCCGGGTGGACAGAGGCGCGTGTGGGGCATTTAATAAATTTGTCCGTTGTTTTAAATCGAACCGGCGACCTCTGGATTTGCATCTGCGGTGGACAAGCCACGACATTCCCAGCAGCATCCCTCGCAGACAACTCTTGCACTTTGATGATGAAAATATTTTTTACTATAAGTATCTAACAATAGATGTAAACATGTTTTCACGAGGTGACCTTAGTAGTGTCCACGCAGAAGGATGCACCCTCTGTCGACCCTGGGTGCTAATGCGCTTAAACGTAACCTTAAGCTAATGCGGTCGGACGCAGAGGGTGTGCGTGCGTGCGTACCCTGGATGTCCCCCGAGTCCTTCATCGTTACAGGCGGCTATTTTTGAGCAGCTCTGGTAATGTGCGAGTGGCTGCACATCTCTGAATACTAAAAGCTGGGTTGAGCACGGTTTTAATTTCCCTGAGTGGCGAACTCGCGCGACCCCCCCCCCACCCCGTGTTGGTCAGCTACGACATTAGCTTTGATGTTCTTGCCTTCAGAATGACAGCACAGCTTAAACAATTTGCTCTGCATTAGCGTTTATTTTTTATTTTTCGTGTTTAATTATGTAATAAATTGTTTTGTCAACGGGCGTCTCGCTGATGCTATGGATCTCTTTGCACCTCCACAACCTCTCTATTGCAACTGATCTGTTGTGACGTTACTTTTTTACGTTTTGTCATAAGTCTTCTTAGAGAGAATTTTCATGAGTATATATATTTTTTGTCGGAAATACGTTGAAAACTGTATTTACGTAGGAATAGGAATGTATTTTTTTCGACAAGTTGTGAAAAATTATTAAAAAGTGACAAAAATTATACTAATAATTATGTTGTTTTTATTTGTTACGCAGAAGATCCGTGCTCCTTTATGAAGACTAAACTAAATTTCCGCACCGTACATAGCCAACCCTGCTAGACGGAGGTGCATTAGTACGTAGCCGACTGCACTAATCAGAGGTGCATTAGTGCAGTAAAGGTAGGCCCTAATGAATTAAGTTCACATTATTATTACTATTGGATAACGCCGAGCCGTGTGTTAATCTGGTAGCCGGCGGCCAATGGAATTTGCCGGGCCTATTCGGCCCTAAGTTAAGAAAAGGTTCCAGACCCCTCCTTTGTCTTCCATACGGCTCATGTATATGCAGACTAAGATGAGAATTTGATGGACTTTCGGTTTCGCTGCACGGCACACTGAACGTGTGTGGTGTAATCTTCTGCCAAGGTTACTCGGTGCGCTGTGGAAATCGAAGCGGAGATGAGAGTGTAAGCGCTCGCCATCACCACGCACGCACACTTCGGGGAAGCCGCGCGCGCGAGGGTCAATTGGGCCGATCCCCACCCCCGCCGACTTGCGTTGGCGACTTGCTGCACCCGAGTTGTTGCGTCCGTTAATCACATTCCTGCGGAGGGAGCTGGTAGGAACGTTGGGTTGCTCGGTCAATGGCCAGGGTCAACGGCAGCGTGGTGTATTCCGCAAATATGCCCAACTGTGAGGGCGGGCACAAGCCGGCGTGAGTAGGTTAAACTTTGAGTTTTATAAGGGCACCACGGGGTGACCAGCCCCTCCCCACCCAGCCCCACCCCTCCCACGCTTCACCCAGCCCCACCCTCCCCACCCAGCCCCTCCCCACCCTCCCCTCCCCACCTAGCCCCTCCCCTCTCCACCCAGCCACACCCTGCCCATTTTTTGATGCACGACGGACGGACACAATAATCCCCTGTGGGTTGGTGTAACCAGGAGGTTCCTACCAGTAAAATCGGATTAATTATTATTTTCATGATAATAGTCTTGTGGAACAAACCCGCTGTGCAGTGATGCCACGTCCAGATTTTTGTATTGCGTTCACACGATTTAATCGGGAAGCGATTTGTTTATTGCTCTTAAGTTGACTTGGCTGTATGTACGTTGAATTTCTTTCGTGCACCGTACGTAGCCAACCGTGCTAATCGGAGGTACGGGGGAAGGACAACGAACATAAACACAAAAGGCAGTTCTTATAGTTCTGGTATAAGCAGGCTGGTATTGCCTGGGCATTGCTTAAGCCTGGGTTAGCGTCGCGACATGTTGTAAATATAACAAGCGACTGTCAGCGATCGTCCTTTTAGCTTTCTTGGGGAAAATTGGAAACAATCTCTGCAATTGGAGGACGTCACCAAGCTGCGAGCATCGGCACCAGCTGGCTTTAATTTACTGCCGTGTGTGTGTGGAGATGGTGCATGCACACACGTGTGGAGGAACCGTGGCATAACGGTTAGCACACTGCGCTATCAAGCAAACAACCCGAGTGTCACACCTGACCATGGTAAGGAATCAAAATCCGTTTGCGACCTTTGGGAGACAGACAGCTGCACATGATGCTGAACATGTCAACTCTTGGTTCTCCATGCTGGACTTGATAGGTGGTTGCTCACAGCACTTGCCCAAGCATTCTATGTAGGTTATATGGGTGACCTTTGTAAGTACATGCATAATGCATATTGAAGATATGTTACTTATTTTAGATATACTGCATATGGGTATGATTCGCTATATATGGGTCGGTTTTAGCAAATGAAATGCGCGAATTATGATATTCAAAAATATATCCAAACTTTTGGCCAGTAGGCCTCAAAATATTGTATGTATGCTTATGTGCTTGGGGAGTGGTGGTGTAGTGTGTGTTTCCGCACAATTTCTACAACTGGTTGTCCAAGTCTTGCCAGTGCATATCACCAGTGGCAAGCGTTTATTTAAACGAGTGACCATTACGGTAATACCCAGGTCACTCTTGCAAAGGAGACATCCTGTTCTGAGTTTCACTTTGGTTAATTAAAAAATCAACTCTAGATTGGATATATCACCATGGGGAAGACCACGGGTGGGTGGGTTTGAATATTACTGGGCACACCAACCCACTCATGTGCCATGTTGGCGTTTTCAACAGGTCCTCATGAACAGCACTTCTCACGACAACAATCTATAATGCTGAACTGGGGATCTGTGCGCGGTTGTGGGTGTGCGTGTGCGCAGACACACATACACACGCGCTATGAACCTGGCGGCCTGAGTTCGATTCCCGTTCACGGCCAACACCAGTGACGACTAGCTGAATCGGTCCTGGGCCTCCCCTAGGTCGACTCGGCCTCAACTGAGTACCTGGTGCGATGCATAAACATCGCCACTGGGGGAGACAAAGGCAGCTGGGCGTGGTGTTGACCACCCACCCCCTCGTGTGCCGTGCCGGCCTTCATAGGTGCTCACTAACAACACTTGGCCCCAACATTTTTTAAGGCTATACAGATGATCTGACATGTGCATGCGTGTGTGTGTGTGTGTGCGCAGACAAGACGATCAAGTTATGGAAGATAAGCGAGCGGGACAAGCGAGCCGAAGGCTACAACCTGAAGGAGGAGGATGGGAGACTACGAGACCCCACCACCATCACAGCTCTTCGTGTGAGTGCAGCCTTTAACGTCACTAACCTGCGGCTAGAAGGGGGAGAGACACGCCGTTGAAAATCAGCGGCTCTCTTTCTCACTGGAGACCCGAGTGATTGTGGCTCCATGGGCATGCCCTTGGCCGTGTGTATTTTTTACGACCTCGTTTACGTGTAATATTCAACTAAAAGTTTGAAAATACGAGATTTGGGTTTGGGTTTACGTATGATAATTAAATAATGTGTTTTAATGTGTACGTGCGCATGTTGAACTTCTTTCGCACTGTACGTAGCCAACCGTGTTTATCGGAGGTGTGGGATGTCCCCTTAACAGCTCGCGCAAGCGCGTGCCCGTGTCATCAAGGTACACGGTGGCATTGGTTCAGGAGACCACTGCGTGCTGCAGAGACTGGCTTTAGTCAAAGCCCGTGCAGGTTTGTTCCGTGTAAACCTTTGGCCCCGGGTAAACGTCAGCAAGGACGAACGCCGCAGAGCGACGGATGTTATTTCACTCGGCGATTTAAACCGCTCCCCCCGCCCGTTGTTCATTTGCTCGCACCGGCCCAACCATGCGTGCTCGCGCTCCCGTTGGCAGGTGCCTGTGCTGAAGCCCATGGACCTGATGGTGGAGGCGAGTCCACGGCGCATCTTCGCGAACGCGCACACCTACCACATCAACTCCATCTCCGTAAACAGCGACAACGAGACGTACATGTCCGCAGACGACCTCCGCATCAACCTCTGGCACCTCGAGATCACAGATCGCAGCTTCAGTATCCTTCCGTGCAAGCCGCAGCGCCGGCGGTCACAGGAACCGCAGAAAAGTGATGCCGAGCGGGTCGTGGGTGGCTGCTGGTTAACGTGCAGTGGGAGCGGTCTTGCGGTGGTTGGCTCGATTACGTGGTCAACCTGCTGGCCTGTGTTAGATTCCCAACCAGAACTCGCACATGTGGTGAGTGATAACCAGTCCTGGGTGCCCCCCCCTCCCTTCACCAGTGCGGTGATGTATGCTCAAACAACAACCCCCATAACCGACATGGTGTGAAAGTGGATTGTCAAGAGGGGCTGTATATTATTATGTTTGACTTTACTAAAGTGCCCGTGTCATCTACTGCTCAGAGCTGCAATTAATGTAAGCTGCCGCTATGCCTCGTTAATTCATTCGAAGCCATTACCGACGCAGCACAGTTTGTGGTTGTGTCATGCGTCTAAATGCAAATTGTCAAGACTATGTACGATGGTGGAGGTGTACATCGCCTTAGAGGGGTGAAGGTGCTCAATGAGGAATGGAGACTGCAACAACAGGGTGAGGATGGTGTCATGTTTGGTGCAGGTGGTTGTGTTGTGGCGCAGAGTCAATTTAATTTGCTGAATACAGCGGGGAGTTACGAGCCGTGGGGGAGAGTAATTCATGGGGGACAGAGCAGAAACTACAAAGCAATAAAAACTCTATTGGGAGAAAGCCTAATGGTTAAAAAGAAAAGATCTGAGAGTGCAAAGCAAAGAGCAAGAAAATTCTAGACTATACAGAGATACATCGCACTGCACGATATGATAAAATCTAATTAGTTGAATAATTAACTTTTTAAATTTAAATGCATAAAAAATAGGAATAGAAATCTTGACTTAAAGCTTTCGTGACTGCAGGAATTCATATTCTTTGGGTATTTCGGTAAAGCCACAAAGATAGAAAAAAAAAAATATGACGTTTCGATCGCCACACAAGCAATCGTCATCAGGAGAAAAAATATTGCAGGAGAGCTGCTGAGGCAGAATGTTATAAAGGTTTGAGATGGGCGTAGCCCAAGGGTCATAAGCGAAGTGGGCGGTGCTAGAGATGAAATTTGCATGTCAATGAAAGATCGGAGAGCTGAGTTACCTCCACGACGACGAAGCTCTGGAGGTGGCCCTTGTATTGTGAGAGATTAGCATGTCAATGTAAGAAAACCGCCACATTAGTGGTTGTGTTAGTGAGACATTTAGCCTGTTAATGTAACTCAGAGAGTCGAAAATAACTAACAAATAAGAATAGCTTTTCACCCTGTCTGGCAATAAAACAGGAGGTTTTAAGGTGTTCAAACACCAAATAGAAATCTTTTGCAAGGAATCAAGTCTGCATTAACCACACGTACTTGTCGTGAACATGCAAACAATGTGCTCTGATAATATATTAATTGTCTTTACACCATGGACAGCCTTTTTTATTGACTCCGTGCAAAAGGTATCTATTTGGAGTTTGAACACCTTAAGACCTATTTTGTTTCCAGAAAGTGTAAAACCTGTTCTTATATTGTTTTACTTTGATGCTGCCAAGAAAGGGCCCATAGATTTAAATGCATTATTTAAAATGTAAAAGTAACAACAAGCATTTGAGTATTAAACGTTTTGTAATTTGTCATTTTTAAAATGTTGCCAAGATTTAAAGGAGAACAAAAACATGCACGTTTTTTTTACACAGTACTTTCTACATTTAAGCAAATATTTTTGTTAATTACTGAATAACATTCCTATTTCACCTGATACTTATTTCCCAAATGAACTAGTGCAATATATGTCACTATAAATCTAATTAACCAATTAGATTGAAAACTCATAAATTGAAAAACTCATTCCTTTAGTATTGCTTTTTCTATTTCGCTTGTCCATCCCCCCCCCCCCCGTACCTCCAGTTATCACGGTTGGCTACGTACGGTGTGAAAGAACTTCTACATACATACATACAACTTGACCTTGGGTTATTTGAAGAAGATGACCTTGGGTTATTTGTAATGTTATTTGTAATGTTTTATTGTGTCCCCTCCCTCAGGCCTACAGTCCCCACCTCGTGCTGTGGACACGGTTTCCTCAGTCTCCCTGACATCAGAATCGGAATATAAATGTATACTGGAGGAATCTAATGAGCTATAAAGCTCTTCTTTTTCACAAATTGTCCAGTAGACTTGATGGCACACTCGGTATCATCCTTGGAGCGCTGCCGTGAAAACCACGTCACTGAAAATCAATCTCGGTCAGCGGCACAAATGTGGCCTGTTACCCTACATCCGTTTGCACGGGTAGTGACGAAGCAACTTGGCCGATCCTGTCGGCTTTTTCAGGCAGTGGCTAAATGAGGTCAGTGTTTTTATATTTCTACCGTGGGTGTGTGATTGGGAGAAGCTCACAGGCTACTCTGGCTGTCCCCATGGTACAGTGCACTCTAAAGATGTTTCAGCCAGGCGTGCATTATTTGATGTTTCCTTGAGGCTTGCACCCAAGATTCCCACCGGATGGTGAGAATGGAGGCTTGATTTTAACAACTGGCACGTTTACAAACGTGAAGTGAAACGAGCATTAAAATAAAACCATACGTAGTGCTGTATATTATATATAAGATTCTTGAAATGCGGCCACGTATCGTAATCATTTTCAGTCTGAGGGGGCAAAGGTTTGGCATTGTAATACCGTGTACGATCGGTGTGTGATGAGAGATGGGGTCACAAGCCAACAGATGAAACACATGCTTGCGCAAGGCAGACAAGGTCAGGCAGTGGAGTGGGCTGGAGAGTCCCGGGGGGTGTCCGAAGACTGTCAGGAACGGGATGATGATGGGTTGTGCATATGGAGAATATTTTTATGTATGTTGAACTTATATCGCACCGTACCTTGGGTAAGCCAAGACCGGTTGTTGTTAATATATTTTACACGTAAGATTGCCGGAGCACCAACTTGCATATTAGCCGTGTATTTCTGTCAACGTGCATTTTTGGGTCGGCTAGACGAAGCGCAGTGCTCAAAGAAGCAATGTTGCCAATACCTCCTATGATGCACACAACTTAATTAAATGTCGGCCCATGCACAATACTAGTGAACATTTCAAACCTATCACTTATCATTTTTACTGCATCTTGTTTACTCGGTGTGCTGCGACGTCCGTATATCGTGCGGTGTGGTTTTCCTCTAGCAGCACACGTTGTTGTTTCCCTTGTGTTCTGAACACCGTTGTCCTGTTCTGCTCGAGCAGTCTGTTTAACGTTAAACCATTTCGCCACGCCTACCTGTGTACTGTGGCCCAGCCACTTCACGTCACGTGACTCTTACCCAGGATTCCCCAGGTCGTCAGCTGTCACAAGCCCAACCATTCCAGCGCAAGTTTCTGGGAATGGGCCGAATTTTCAGATTTAAAGTAGAAGCAGAGCATATTTGTTACGCAGGGCCCTGGCGTTTAAATAATTGGCCATATATTCTTGCAGAGGCAACTAGAGGTATCCCATACAGGCATCATATTTGTGTCATCCACCAACCCTGATTGCAAGTTTATGGATTTAATATGCATTCCACTGTAACTTTTTTCCTTTTGTCGGAGTCTCAGCCCCATGTATTAATCATTGGTCTTCACTATGGGGACCTCATTTGCCAGTAAAAATATGATAATTGGTTCTTTACCCTTCTATCTGGCAACAAAACTGACACCTTTTTGCAAGGACAATATTGTCCTTGAGTTGTGCGCCTTTTGGCGTCATCTGGTCCAACCCATATGAGACTAGGCTCGAAGGAAAGCTGTCTCGGGTGTGGACCAATCAACTTCAGGGACAGTGCACATTATCAGAGTTATGTTCTTTTGTTTGTATTATGACTGCAGGTATTGCGGTCTATGCAAACATGACTCCTTGCTAAAAGGTGTCAGTTTTGTTGCCAGATAGAAGGGTAAAGAACCAATTATCATATTTTTACTGGCAAATGAGGTCCCCATAGTGTAGATGCTTGCCCCGAGCTCTCATACTCTGATGGTGCATTGTCCTTGAGTTGTGCGCCTTTTGGCGTCATCTGGTCCAACCCATATGAGACTAGGCTCGAAGGAAAGCTGTCTCGGGTGTGGACCAATCAACTTCAGGGACAGTGCACATTATCAGAGTTATGTTCTTTTGTTTGTATTATGACTGCAGGTATTGCGGTCTATGCAAACATGACTCCTTGCAAAAAGGTGTCAGTTTTGTTGCCAGATAGAAGGGTAACGAACCAATTATCATTGGTCTTCAGTTTTAAGGTAACCTGCAAGTCTCCATCTCGGCAACACGCACCGCTGCACAGCGCGCACCTGTACCGAAGTAGAGTGCTCAGAACCATCTGAGCACAACAAATGCAGGGAATGTTTCTTTCACGAGGGAACGCAAGCGAACAAACGACGCTTTTGCCGAGCGGACACGTCTTGAGGAGCTTTTTCAACGGGGTGTTTTCCCTCGGCCGAAACGAGCGAGCTGTTGGGTGGGCACGATCGTCCCTCCCTGGACTCCCTCTGCTGTGAGCGGGGGGTGGTGGTGGATGCCTTGGCGTGGTGGCATTATGAAGCGTGGCTGCTAGGGACGGAATGGCCATTAATTCCTTCCTGTCTGGCGCGAGCACGTCCGATTATTTGTCGGTAATTGCTCGCGGCGCATTTTCACGCCTCCACTGAAAAAAACCCCAGATATTTTTTTCACATCTCGGCGTCTGTCAGGCAGTTTCACACGTTCTCGTTTTGGTGGTTGATTTGTAGATTGCCGATAGTATTCTTTGTTTTATGCAATGGCTGCTCTTGTTCCTGGCAAGATGTGCCGATGGACTCACAATGGCTAATGTCAACGGCGTTGTAATGTAACGTTTATGTTTGAGGTCGCGTGTGTTTGTATTCAGGGAGAGTGGCAAGATTATATTTTAGCACAGTGAGCTGTTGTTCCGATGTCTGACCTAGCTACTTCTGGCCACGCACATTAGTAGAAGTTGATTTCTTCAACTGACAAAAAAAAACCTTTGTTAA